AGGTTTTGTCTTGAGGATTGTTTTATTACAGGTTTCAGACCCAGAGGAGGATAAATGCTCTATGATTTGTTTTACTTTAGAGCAGTTTCCCTTTATTTCCCATTTCTATTTCTTACTTCCTCAGATGGACTTGTAATGCTTTCACATTGAGGTAGATAATGTTTCTGTTTCTGTAAAAGTATCTATACTAAAATATTTGTAAACGTTAGGGGTACTCTATTTAACATTAATGTTATTATGTTTTATCAAAATATATATCAGCCTCAATAGTTCATATAAATGTATTTTATTTATACTTATACTTTATACTTTTTGCATTGCTGGAAACTTTAGGAACATCATATCATTCAGGATGATACCAGTAAAAAAACTGCCCAGGAAAATGAATCAAATGCTGATTCCAAGTCATAAAAATGGCCAAAAGCGTCACTTTTGACTAATAAATTTCCAAAAAAAGAAGCATTTTGGATACAAACCAGCAGATAAAGAGCAAAGCAAGAAGCCGCTCGCTCCCAAAGGGGGAAACAAATCTGACTTATTTCACTGTCTCAAGCATTAGCACCCAAATATTTAGTCAATCCGCTCAACCGGAAACAGGTAAACTAAAGGGTTGTCAGGATACTAAAAATGTTCAACTCGATACTAATACTTAGGAAAATACTCTATACTCGATACCATTCTTGATACCACAAGGATAAAAACAAAGACCCCAAAATTTAACTGAATTTCGACAGGTTAGTGTCTTTGGTTTCAAACTGACCTGTTACTGATGTTATGGTGGCCCACATTAATGACCCTAAACCTAACCCTAACCCTAACCCTGACCCTAACCCTAACTCTATATCTAACTTCATAATTGTGATAAATAAATATTTTTTGGTTAAACTTGTTTGGTCCGGTGGTATCGATACTTTTGAAAATGAGTATCGTATCCGGATACAACGTTTTAGTATCAATACTTTTTTGAGTATGGATACTTTTGACAACCCTATTAACTCATTGGCTGCCAAAGACGTCTATAGACGTCTTTTATGTTTTTCAACGAGAGTGGCTTGGGTGACGATCTGCTAAAGCTTGTCCGTAAATATCGGCTTCTAGACAGAGTATGTAGTAACAAATTGAGCCTCTAGGGGGCAGTGCCACTTTTGATGGGAGATGAGCATAGACTGTAGGCAAATAAGAAAAAACACAATGGTTCGCTATGAGAGAAATGGCGCCGGTGAGACGCAAGTCCAGGAAGAACGGAATAAGGTAGAAACACATTTTTTTTCCTGATGAAAGAAGAGAGTCTACTCTTTCTTTTGGTGTGTTCGGTGTTTACATAGTCATAGCACAAACTATTCTGTGGCTCTTGAAAAATCATTCAAAATGCTCAAAAAACTCTGGCAGTATGGGACTCTCTGTTCTGAAAATGGCTGGCAGTCAATGAGTTAAGCTAGCCGGCCACCTCTGTTGGGGCTCAACTTGAGGATCTTGTGGACCATCTTCTCCACGGGGCCCAGCCCCTTCTTCCTCACGCTGCTGCCGTTGGGCCCCCGCATGGCCGCGATGCGCCGCTTTCCGTCGCACTTCAGGTCGGCCCACTTCTTCATGATCTGACGCACCTGCGTGGAAACAAAAAGCAGCCGTTTTATCATTGACCACTTCGGTCTGCTGGTCAACATCTGCTGGAGTTCCCACGGTGGGACAGCAGTGGGGTGACCGCTCCTTTGCAGTGGCAGGTCCTAAACTGTGGAAAAACTCTCTGCCCACTGAGTTACGTTCATTTACTTACCTGCCACTGTTCAAAGCTCACCTTAAAACGTATTTGTTCAGGTTGGCTTTTTGCACGTAGGGTCTCTGTATACTGGGTTCTGTCACCGATGTGTTGGTCTTTGTGTATTATTTTGTCTTGTTCGATAGTTTGATCTGTTTTTTATTCTGTAAAGCACTTTGATCAGCTCCGGTTGTTGTAAAATGCTATATAAATAAACATTGATTGATTGATTGATTCACCTGCCAATCCACAGAGCCTCCTTTTAGCGCTTTCTTTGTGGTGCGTTCAGGGGCTGGGGGGAGGCTGGGATAGGCTGGTCCCCATCCCATATCTGGATCAGATCGGCCGGCAGGAGAAAATGCAGATCCAGACTCCAGATCCAGTTTTTTTTAAAAGTCCAATCCCACATTAGCATTAGCATTAGCATCTGTAACCCACAGGTCTGTGTCCTAACCATTAAGTTGTTATCAGAGTAAATCCCTGTTCAACACGAGTCTGACAACTAAGTAAGTAGATAAATAACTAAATAAATTTAAACTTTAATACATGGTCTCATAGGCCGGGATCGGAAGATAAAAAAGCTGGATCGGTACATCCCTAGTTCCAATCCGATATTTGCCAAAGAGATGCGTATCGGCCGGCAGGAGAAAATGCAGATCCAGTTTTTTTATTTTTTCAAAGTTCGATTAAAATAATCCATTCCACTTTGCTATGTTGTTCCCTAATATCCTAACTAGTTATTTCCCAGCACACCCTTAAGCATTAGCATCTCCTAACCCACAGGTCTGTGTCCTAACCATTAAGTTATCAGAGTAAATCCCTGTTCAACATGAGTCTGACAACTAAGTAAGTAGATATATAACTTTAAACTTTAACCTTTAATACATGCCCTGATAGGCCGGGATCGGTATTGGAAATTTAAAAAAGCTGGATTGGGACATCCCTAGTCCCGATCCGATCCGATATTTGCAAGAAAGTACAAGTACAATATCATTTTCACTGATTTTTTTTTATTTTTTAAAGCAGATATGCTGAGTTAATAGACTATTTTCTATTCAGGTTGTTTGTGTGTTTTGCCTTTTTAATACAGTTTACAATATTATTTTCACTTTTTACCGTTCACTGATGCCATTTCAGTTTGTTATTTATCATTTAGTCTATTTTGTGTTTCTCCCTGAATAAACAGGTCAGTGTCTCTTTACCAACGTGTGTGTGTTATTCAGACTCCCCTAATTCAGCTAGCTGTTATCAGAGTAAATCCCTGTTCTACATGAGTAAGTAAGGCTAAATAACTAAATAAATCTCATCTCAGTTTGAGCGGACCACAGACCTGTCTGTGGTTCTCTCCCAGACAGTTGACCTGGTTGGTGATGTCCGTCCAGGTGCGTTTCTTGTCCTCTGCTGGGACTCCTTGGTTGAACTTCTCTGCAGAGAAGAAGAGAGACACAAACACAGCATGGCTCGGAGCTAACGCAAACTCCAAACGGGAGAGAAAATAAGCAGAATTTGAAGTTTAAGAGCAGCTAAGAGGCTCCGGAGCAGGTCTGGGCGGCTGGAACTCACTGAGGAGGATGTATCTGTTCTTCTTCACAGCATCCAGCAGCACCCTGAGCTCTGTGAAGGAGAACCTGGGCTTGGACCGGAGCCCCTCTCTGGCTCCTCCCAACGTGAACTCTCCGTCCTCTTCAGACCACCTTCTTCTCGACATGGCTACTCTGGTTCTTCTCGGTGGACAGCCCTTTAAAGGAGTCATAATATACCCTATTATACACTATTTCAACAAGTGAACCTAGTTCCCTGGTGTCCTGATGTAATGTCTGTGACCAGCTTTGGTCAGAATCCCATAAGGATGAAGCCCAATAGCAGTTCAGTCCCCCTGCCTAACCCTAACCCTAACCCTAACCCTAACCCAAAACAGCCCCGTTCAGAGCGCTCGCTTTGGAGTGCCTGTCTCTTTAAATGCAAATGATACACAGGCAATCCACCCACTTCCTCAGGGAGGTGTGCCCACGTCGGCACCATGCTAACGCTACCACGCTACCATGCTAACAGCTGAACGTGAACTCTGGGAGAAACACGGCAGCTGGAGGAAACTTTTCGGTCCAAAATCTCTATTAAAAAAAATCACAGCAGGGAAAAAATATGGAGAAATCTGAACCAGCTGTCTTAAATTAAGCTCACCATATAAGTTTCATGTTCATCTCGCACACATTGTCAAACAATAACTATGTTAGCTTCACTGAGGCTCCAGCAGCTAACAGCGGTTAGCATTAACTAACTTCACACCAACAATGAAAAACAAAGCATGAATTCTTAAAGGGGACATATTATGCAAAACCTAGTTTTTAATCATTTGATTCTTTACATTTGGGACTGTGGAGGGCCTATCAGCAGGCAAAGTGTGAAAAAAAATGACTGGGTCATGTTTTTGTGGGCCGCCTCAGTCTGAATCCAGGAGATAAATCAGGAGGTTTCAGGAGTGGGTAGTTTCTGACGTCATTAGCTCTAGCTCATTCTAATATTCCAGCCTTTCACCTGCATGTTGCCCCCCCCCCTCAGCTTACTCCCCTATCTGTGGAGACGTCCTGGTAGCGTGAGCGTTAGCATGGTAGCGTTAGCATGGTAGCGTTAGCATGCTAGCGTTAGCGTGCCGACATGGACACACCTCCCTGAAGAAGTGGGTGGATTGCCTGTGTCTCATTTGCATTTAAAGAGACAGGCACTCCAAAGCGAGCGCTCTGAACGGGGCTGTTTTGGGTTAGGGTTAGGGTTAGGGTTAGGGTTAGGCAGGGGGACTGAACTGCTATTGGGCTTCATCCTTATGGGATTTAGGCCAAAGCTTGTCACAGACATTATATTCGGAATTAGTTTAACTTGTTGAAATAGGGTATAATATGTCTCCTTTAGAAATACTCACAGTTACTGTGTCTGTCTCCTTGCAACGGATAGTTGGTACTGCTCCCTCTACCAGCAACAGTCTTTTGGCCAGTCCTGTATTGTACTGACCGAGGTTCATAAAAGAGTCCCTGGTGAAGTGGTTTGCACACACCAACATCTTTTTGCCGACTCTAGCCGGGACATCTCCGTGGTAAATAAAATCAATCCACTGGGCTCGTAACTCTTCTGAGACGGGGATAGTGTGCAGAGCTTTGTGCTGTTCTGAGCAGCCCATCACAGAACAGTGGTGTTGCTTTTCCTGAGGCATGTCAGCTCGCTCTCTTGCTGGTAGGGACAATGGCGGAGAACAGATAGGTGGAGTAAGCTGAGGGGGGGGCAACATGCAGGTGAAAGGCTGGAATATTAGAATGAGCTAGAGCTAATGACGTCAGAAACTACCCACTCCTGAAACCTCCTGATTTATCTCCTGGATTCAGACTGAGGCAGCCCACAAAAACATGACTGAGTCATTTTTTTTTCACACTTTGCCTGCTGATAGGCCCTCCACAGTCCCAAATGTAGACAATCACATGATTAAAAACTTGGTTTTGCATAATATGTCCCCTTTAAGAATTCATGCTTTGTTTTTCATTGTTGATGTAAAGTTAGCTAACGCTAACAGCTGTTACCTGCTGGAGCCACAGTGAAGTTAACGTAGTTATTGTTTGACAATGTGTGCGAGATGAACATGAAACTTATATGGTGAGGTTCATTTAAGCTAGCTGGTGGTCAAAACCGAGCGCTCTGAACGGGGCTGTTTTGGCAGGGTGATTGAACTGCTATTGTGCTTTGTCCTTATTGTATTTTGACCAAAGCTTGTCACAGACATTACATTAAGACACCAGGGAACTAGTTTAACTTGTTGAAATAGGGTATAATATGTCTCCTTTAAAACATTTTTATATTCAAAAAGTGCATTAAAACTAAATAGACTTCCCTTTCATCACAAGCTGTGTTTGTGTATATATTTACACAAGATACACCACGTTAATAAGCCATTAAGTAAAGAATAATCATGAAAAATATAATGTAATTACTCATAACTAAGCTACTTGGACTGATACATCAGAATTATTTGTAATTATCAGCCTCATTTGGCTGATTCTAATGAGGCTGTTTGTCCTATATTCAACAAAACATCAGATTTGGTGGTTATAAATCTAATTTTCTAATTTCCTACTCTTTAAGAGTATTTGCGTTGTTAGCCATTCGTTTATGGTTAACGGTCGGATTTTTAAACGATTTCCACCAACGTTCGCGAACGCACTGATCACGTGACGTGCGGCAGCCAATCACATGAGCCCTCTCCGGGTCTTTGTTGAGCCCCCTCTCCCCGGGCTTCTGGTCCTCCGGCTGGGGCAGCAGCCAGCCACAGCCTCCCCCTCTTCCTCAACCTCCGTGAGCCGAAACCAACCGGGAGATCCGAGGCTTAAGGCGGTTGTTCTGCCCAAAAGAACCGGCTCCGAACCGCCGTTTTACCGGTTATGTTTTTTTGCGTCGTTACGGTGATTTTGGAATGAGCGTAGCTAAGCGACAACCGTTGGTGGAAACCGGGGGGAGGGGGGTGGCCGTCGACCGGGCTAGCCCCGGATTTTACGCTCCGTTATCGCGTACCGGCCGTTCACGTTTCCCTCCGCTGAACGCCTCGCGTGGGGGCCGTTTCTCATAATTATTGCTTTTATTATGAAAAAAAACGCCCATTTAATTACGATGCGGGACTCAACGGAAGGGCGAAGATGGGGATATTTACCAGGGAAAATGGCGGTCCTCTCCCCTCCTTCCTCCGCGATTCTCCCGAAAATTCGGAGTGACGTGAACAAGCGAAATGCGCAGACTCCGAAGCGCGTGAGATTTTTCTTTTTCCTTCCTAGAACGCGCAACGTTCGCGTG